TCGACGGACCGCCGGCGTGTTTTTGTACTCTCCCCAGGTTTCTCTCAGAATTCAAATTAAGATGGCGGCGGCCGTGTGAACCTGTGAATCCTCCAGACAGGCCATTTCTTGGTTGTATTTTCCCTCGTGTGATTTGATCAAGGCGGAAATATCTTGTTACTTAAGGTAAGACAAGCTTTCAGTACGTTAAGGATACGTTAGTCTCACAGGTTACACAGGAAATTGCCGTCCTCTTGCGAAATCTTTCAGTGACACTGCAATGGTTTTTGAAGGTAATATAGATCATGATCGCATCGATCACTTGATTTAAACTGCATTCGGCATTTAGTCAAGCATATCATTTCGACTGCAGCGTAACTGGGCCGAAAAACCAATTTGTTTCTGATCATTTTACACGCCCTGTAGGCTTCGGAAGTTGATCTAAAATGTGCGAACATAGAAGTGTCCTTTATTGCACTTTGTCTTAAAATAAAGGGTTTCTAGGGAGAAACTGTTTGTTCTTCTAAGGGCATCTCTTACTTTAAGCAAAACAGCAGATTTTATTCGGTGTAATTTTCTGATCAACTCTCCACTGTAATATATCTCTTAGTAGTGTATGTAACATCACTCCTTCCAGCCTGAGTGATTTTTATCTCATCTCACAACAAATCAAGTGACTTCGTTTCAGGTGTAGGAAACTACAATTGGCAACAAAATTATTGAAGCAGTTTACTCAACTAGGGTAATAAGTACAGAGAAGAAAAGAATCTACCTCCCTCCCCACTCGCCTTCATTCAAAGTTGCAGTTTTTGTTGCTTTAACTGTAGGTAGCCCGAACAGCGGCACAACATTGCATGGAGGGGATGGGGGAGGGAAAGCTTTATTTCCCATTAAGAAGTCAGTAAAGCATAGGCCTTAGGGCAAGGTGTCTCAAGTACATTGTAATTTTGTCACCAATCGTAGCTCTAGATTGTAGCAATACACACTTACCTCCACTTAAGGAAAGGATAAGAAAAATAGAGTAGTTTATTGAATGTTGATTAATTATGCAAAAATCGTAATTGAATATGATTTATGCACAAATGTTCCTTTTTTCACTCTAATGAATGGATCTTTGCGCTATTGATTGCCATTTCATGCAATTAAATACATATTTTCTCGTAATAAACAGCAAAAGGTGTAAATCTCATAAACGTTTCCTTTGATGATGCATGGATATCGTTAGGAGAAAATTAATGTTGGTCACTATTGGGACTTAAAGCGAAATTTGTTGTATCCCGCTGTGCATTTTGCATATTTTGGGTTTTTGTGTTCCCTCAATCATCTTAGCGGACCTCTTAGGAAATTTATATTTACTTGCACGAGTTCAAAAGGTCATGGTTTGTCATTTGTGATTGGTGGATCTGGATCCGTTTTGTTTGTTTCCTATTACAAGGCTTGTTGCTTTGTGATCGTCCTGTTTTGGGCAATGATCGACTAGTTAAGTTCGCTTCGCAAATTTTTATGATCTTTCTCATTCTTGTCACTTGCAAGAATAAAGCAATGTCTGCCTCCTTCCTTTTACAAAAAATCCACTCACCATCGCAATTTCCTTCGCTATTCTTGAGCAGTCGGAGTCATTCTCAGCCAAGCTGAGCGAACACGTTACATTGTGATTTGCTTTAACCTCGCCTCACTAAAATGCATGATTGACAGAACAGAAAAACCCAAAATCCGTTCTAAGTTTGCAAAACGTGCAGTGCAATACAACAAATTACCCTATAAGGGTTAACAAAGTGTCTATGTCTATGTCTAAATAATCTTGAATAACCGCCATGAAGATTTTCAAAAACTGATATGTTTTTGCAAGCCTTTCAAGAGTTTCCAAAAAACATACAGCAAAAAATAGGGAGGCGTAGATAACGCTGAATAAATGATAAAATGAACCTCTAATTGAACCATTCGTGTTCGTAGCAAGATAGAAAACACTACAAACTTGCAAAATTAAAAATAAAATATTTTTTGTCATGTGTAATTTGAAATCTCTTGCTTTGCCATGCATCACGACTTTGTATCATTTTACTACATGCAATAGTGACCTAAGATTTCTAATGCTGGGGAAAAAGTCTTGATTTTATTATGGAAGGTTTTTCTAAGACTGTTAAATTCATTTGACACCATTTTCAGACAAGAAACTTCAACTACACTGCAGCAAGACAAGTGCTTGTTTGTTCACCTTTCATTGGCGTAAATCATTATTTTTTTCCTATGGCTGACGACCAAAGGTTTTCTCTTTTTATTTTAAAAGTGCAGAATGAGCGGGGAATATTGTTGTTCATTTAACGGAAGTTAGCCTGAGAATCGTGATTTTTATGCACCTGTTCGGGCTCCTTAGTTAAAATTTTGGTTGCCTATAGGTAAATAATAATTATTGTAGGAGCCTCTGGCAACCAGGCCTCCATTAGGCAGTAGCCTTGACACTGCCTAGTGTAAAGCACGTAAATACATACCTTGACAAGTATAAGAACAGTTTTGATAGTTCAAAAGTTAGACTTCATACAAAAATACTGAGTCAATTTTCCAAACTTTAAGATAAAAAACCTTTCGATGGCACTGTTTTATTAACTTTGCATATGCTCTTGTACATGCAAGTGCTCTTGACTGTACCTTTTGCTGTTTTTGCAAATGGTTGTCTTTATTTTTCTTGAGAAATAAATCGTGTCTCAAAATCTGTTCGAGTGGTGAATATAAAAAATGCTTGTTTCTCGAAACTCAGGACTCAATGTTTGCATTTTTTAACTCAATTTGTTGGAGTTTGAAGTATTCTTCTGTTCTCATCTCATTATGCAATGCTCATTAGCATTGTGTAATGAGGCAAAATTGTCTGCACTTCAAGGCGAGAGAATCAAGTTTCGAGGAAGAGGTCAAGATTGTCAACTTTAGATACAGACACTATCAATAGGGCCATTTATACAAGGAAAAATGAGATGCATCTTAAATAGGACACCTCTTAGTAAGACGCGAACTTTCCGTGTAAACGGCACATTTCGTCTAAAATAAGATGTGGCTTAGCTTAGACGTGTCTTATTTTAGAACAGCCCTTGACACCTGTTCTTAGATAAGACATGTCTTAGCTAAGATGAGAAAAACTTTGTATAAATGACCTTCGCGTCTTACCATAGTACGCATGCATTAATTTTTGGCGCGGCACGTTGGATTGCCGTTGCTACGGGCAACGTTCACACGAAAACGAGACAACGATACAAACCATTTATATGAGCTGTTCTCGTCTTAGAAAACACATGCTGGTATAAATGGTACAGTTCGTGTCTTACATAGGACGTGTCTTATTTTTCCTCAAATAAATGGCTCTAATATGGTCATTCTGGTGAACTAATTAAAACTAGGTTTAGGTACACTGGCTGTAGGGGTCTGTTCTTGAAGTACAGTAAAGCAAATAATACCTCTAGTACAGGAAAAAGAGGATTGGTCCTTGAATGTTAGTTATCCTTTACTACTGTATGCTACTATTTGTGCCCTTGAGTTGGATAAATAATAAATTGAAGGTTATCGACCAACAGATTAGTGCACCGTTTGTCATGAGCTAGAAGTGTGACACATTAATAAAGTTACTGTCTTTTTTAATGGGCCCCTATAAATGTAGCTTTTTATTTTAGGAGCCCGAAGGGCTCTCAAAAATTCTCTTAGCCGGCAGCCTTGCTCTAAGGTAAATGCAAATGTTCACTCGCACTTCCTAACCATTGGTTACTGCTAATTATAGCAGTTCTAGATTTAATTCTGGTTTGAGATAAATGTGTTTCAAACTGGCAAAACCAGTGGTCCCACAGCTGATCATGTCCCTTAAACTAATCTATGTAAGGATCAAAATAAGTTTATTAAAAAATTTATTATTTTTTATCCTTTTTAAGTGTGACTTGAAATCATATTCATTATTTTAGGTAATATATGCACCCCTCTTTCTTGAAAAAATGGGCAAACAAGCGTGACCACTGGACCAAGAGTAAGAGAATAAGCCAATTCCTAGAATAAACCCTGTTACTCTTTAGACAAAATAAATAAGTGATAGATGCTATAACCCTTTAAGCTTTAAGATCAACATGATCAAAGCCTATTTCCTTAAAGTGATCATTTTATTAATTCTCATAACTTTTCTACTTGATTATATACTGATGTTGTTTGGGGAAAATTGATGTTGGTCACTCCTGGGACTTAAAGGGATAAATGAATCACGACTGTAACACTTCATGTGGACTGATCTTGTATGGAAGTTGCGATTTATTTTTGATCTTCCAATTTCATCTGCTTGAGTGTTTGCACTTTGCTTTCCAGTGTTATTATGAGGAATCAATTATTGATACCATTTTCTGGCTGCTGTCTGGTTGTTTGTTTGTTTGTGGTCCAAAACAAGAAGTAGGGAACCATTACTTCAGTCTGTTCCTTCCTCTTCCTTTTTTCTGTTTATTGATGCATTTCACAGTAAATTAAATAACCCTGCCCCCTCTCAAATAATCCTCCCTCTCTGTTAATCTCCCCCATCAAAGATTCTTGAAATGAAAAGGCCCCCAGGGAGCTTAATAGAGGATTTATGGTAATACACTGAGTTCAACTATATTGTCTGTATGAATTCTGTATAATGAACCTTAATTACCATTATTTTAAGAGTGTGTTATTTTACACACCACAAGG